AGAGCAGAAGAGTAACAGTATGCAGCATGGGCTGGGAGGGTGCATGTTAGTCTTTTGGGGGAGATATGCGACCTAGAAGGAGGTGGCTGTCTGAAGGGCCTTGAAGTTTTTGATGGATCAGGGCTCTGGTTTGTCAATGTGCCTGCCTACCTCTGAGTTTAACTCTTGTCTCATCAGTTGTTCATCACCACTTTACAGCCTTCCAGAACCCTTCTTGCTTCATTTCACCATCTAAATTTCATATTCCCTTCCCATTTATTCTGAGCATCCTGCCTCACAGAACCCTACTAGCCTGATTTAACTCAGGGCATGTCTTCACTACCCGCCGGATCGGCGGGTAGCAATCGATCTATTGGGGATCGACTTATCGCATCTAGTGAAGACGCGATAAAATCGATCCCTGATCGCTCTGCTGTCGACTCCGGAAATCCACCGCGGCAAGAGGCGGCAGCGGAGTCGACGGTGGCGCGGCAGCAGTCGACTTGCCGTCGTCCTCACAGCCAGGTAAGTCCACCTAAAATACACAACTTCAGCTACGCTATTCACGTAGCTGAAGTTGCGTATCTTAGGTTGACCCCCCCGCTGTAGTGTAGTCCTAGCCTCAGAGAATGGGGCAAGAAGTAAAACCCAGATTTCCTGTGTATTAAGACTGTGCCTCCATTAGGCCCTTGCGTTAGTCAGTGATTTGTAGCCTTAGACACTGCCAATAAGTTGACTAGTTAACTATCTGGGTAGTACTCGTTACTGATATCTGTGAATCTGTTTATTTTGTTTGAAGCTACAAAGCTTAAGTCTATATTTATTTTTCCTCTGGGTGTCTATAAAGATTTCATCTTCTTTTCTGTTTTCCTTGGTTGCTTTTCTCTTATATCTGTTAACTTAAAAGGCTCTTAAAATTCGAACTTGTCATCCAGAATTCTTGGTAATCCCTACACTGTTCTCTTGTTTTATTCAAAAAACACTTTTTTTGCCCTCCTCCCCCATCTAAATGAGCTTATAGTTGACTGTCACACACAGATGTTGCAGTTCTTTCCCAGGTCTCTGTAATAGCCAATCTTAACTGTTGCAACCAACAGTTGGTTGAGTTTTCCTCCATAAATTAACTGTTTTTCAAATGTAGCTGCCTGAGTATTCATTGGCAACAGAATGATTTCCCGCACACAACACTGACCTGCAGCCAGAACAGAGTTGCTGTGTGATAGGTACTATGAGATTTCACAGTAATTCTGTTTTACTGCATTAAATACATTGGATTTACTATGAGAATTTTGCTTTTACAGTGAATCTCCACTGTACAAAGCAATGATACTATACCCTTTTGCATTGCAAGTTTTGTCAATGTAAGTGACAAGAAATCTTGCAACTTGGCTGCCATTCATTTCCATTCCCATGAAAACACACCTCAGATTGGCAAAAGCAAGCACAAGACTTTAAAATAATTCCTATTCAATTCCAACTGATTATCTTAACACATTTTTCTAACAGTCAATTATCCATTTTCCTTGGGGTGGACATGGGGATGCTTTTAGAAGGGCAAGTGACATTTTGCAAGCTGTGCTCACAGACTTTAGGATCAACAGGCTTTTCTGAAGGCTAGTGTTTCCACTTTGAATGAAAAAGTTTAAATATTATTTCTGTTTGGTTTTTAAAGTTTCCATAATATTTTTCCCTCTGGGCATAATGGCTGGGATTTTGAAAGAATCTTAAGGGAGTTATGACATCTGATTCCCTTAGGCTCCTTTGGAAATCACAGCCATTATACCTTGGGGGAGAGGAGCTTGGATACAAGGGACAAGGTTCATCTCTGGTTTACCCCAGGTTCTGCAGGCATAAACCAGCATGCAAGGTCCCGAGTGGCAGAAAGTTCACTGGGGAAAAGATAGCAGCTGCATATGTTGATGTAATCTTCTCTCCAACAAGGGGGGCAGTACGGGGCCAGCAATGTTCATAAAATGGAAAGTGCAGACCATGAGGATACTTGCGCAGTGATTTAGTGAGTCCCTCTGCTGGAAGGATTTTCTGTGTAATCTTGGTGGGATATACAGTCCTTCTCCTGTGTAACAACCAAGGACTATTAGTGGTGGAAACACCACCTGTGGTTTAATCCCGTTGAAGGGCAGAAAGTCTTGATGTCACTGGGAGGTGCAGCTTTCACCTTCCTGTGCCAACCATGGTGAATCTGAATCTAGCACGAGACCTATATGATTTTACCAGATACCCACACAGTGGAAACCTTTATTGCCAGTCAGATGCCACCTTTTCATAGTATTGATTTTATGTATTTTCACAGTACTGATATTCTGCTGAGAAATAAAACATTGAACAGTCCAGTTTGTACCAGGAGAATGTCCAAATGTGCCTTGGTTCCTATACAAATTGTGATTTATTAAATGTTTTCAATACATTTTTGCTCTTGCGATGTACATATGTACGTATATTGATTTAACAAATTGGATAATGGATTGAATACAATAGTGCATAACAAAACTTTACCTTTTGTCAGCTACCCAGAGAAAATGCAAAGGTTTTATTTAAAAGGATAAACTTACTGAGAGAGTTTACTTAATTAAACTAAATATCTGTTTCACAGATGGAGAATTCTACTTGTATCTAATAGGCTTTAAAATTTAGCAGTCATGTAGATTCCAGTGTTGCATTTGTGTGTGTAAACACAGAATCATAGAATATCAGGGTTGGAAGGGACCTCAGGAGGTCATCTAGTCCACCTCCCTGCTCAAACCAGGACCCAATCACCAACTAAATCATCCCAGCCAGGGCTTTCTCAAGCTGGGCCTTAAAAACTTCTAAGGAAGGAGATTCCACCACCTCCCTAGGTAACCCATTCCAGTGCTTCACCACCCTCCTAGTGAAAAAGTTTTTCCTAATATCCAACCTAAACCTCCCCCACTGCAACTTGAGACTATTACTCCTTGTTCTGTCATCTGCTACCACTGAGAACAGCCTAGCTCCATCCTCTTTGGAACCCCCTTTTGGGTAGTTGAAAGCAGCTATCAAATCCCCCCTCATTCTTCTCTTCCGCAGACTAAATAATCCCAGTTCCCTCAGTGTCTCCTCATAAGTCATGTGCTCCAGTCCCCTAATCATTTTTGTTGCCCTCCGCTGGACTCTTTCCAATTTTTCCACATACTTCTTGTAGTGTGGGGCCCAAAACAGGACACAGTACTTCAGATGAGGCCTCACCAATGCCGAATAGAGGGGAATGATCACATCCCTCAGTCTGCTGGCAATGCTCCTACTTATACAGCCCAAAATGCTGTTGGCCTTCTTGGCAATAAGGGCACACTGTTGACTCATATCCAGCTTCTCGTCCACTGTAACCCCTAGGTCCTTTTCTGCAGAATTGCTGCCTAGCCACTCGGTCCCTAGTCTGTATTAGTGCATGGGATTCTTCCGTCCTAAGTGCAGGACTCTGCACTTGTCCTTGTTGAACCTCATCAGATTTCTTTTGGCCTAATCCTCTAATTTGTCTAGGTCCCTCTGTATCCTATCCCTACTATCCAGTGTATCTACCACTCCTCCCATTTTAGTGTCATCTGCAAATTTGCTGAGAGTGCAATCCACGCCATCCTCCAGATCATTAACGAAGATATTGAAGAAAACCGGCCCCAGGACCAACCCTTGGGGCACTCTGCTTGATACCAGCTGCCAACTAGACATGGAGCCATTGATCACTACCTGTTGAGCCTGATGATCTAGCCAGCTTTCTATCCATCTTATAGTCCATTCATCCAGCCCATACGTCTTTAACTTGCTGGCAAGAATACTGTGGGAAACCGTATCAAAAGCTTTGTTAAAGTCAAGGAATAACACGTCCACTGTTTTCCCCTCATCCACAGAGACATTTATGTCATCATGGAAGGCAATTAGGTTAGTCAGGCATGACTTTCCTCTCCTCTGTGTGCTTCAGAATTGATTCCTTGAGGACCTGCTCCATGATTTTTCCAGGGACTGAGGTGAGACTAACTGGCCTGTAGTTCCCCGGATCCTCCTCCTTCCCTTTTTTTAAAGATGGACACTACATTAGCCTTTTTCCTGTCATCTGGGACCTCCCCCAATCGCCATGAGTTTTCAAAGATAATGACCAATGGCTCTGCAATCACATCACCAACTCCTTTAGCACCCTGGGATGCAGTGCATCCCGCCCCATGGTCTTGTGCTCGTCCAGCTTTTCTAAATAGTCCTGAACCACTTCTTTCTCCACAGAGGGCTGGTCACCTCCTCCCCATACTGTGCTGCCCAGTGCAGTAGTCTGGGAGCTGACCTTGTTCGTGAACACGGAAGCAAAAAAAGCAGTGAGTACATTAGCTTTTTCCACATCCTCTGTCACTAGGTTGCCTCTCCCATTCAGTAAGGGGCCCACACTTTCCTTGACCACCTTCTTGTTGCTAACATACCTGTAGAAACCCTTCTTGTTACTCTTAACATTCCCTTGCTAGGTGCATCTCCAATTGTGATTTGGCCTTCCTGATTTCTCTCCTGCGTGCCTGAGCAATATTTTTATACTCCTCCCTGGTCATTTGTCCAAGGTTCCACTTCTTGTTAGCTTCTTTTTTGTGTTTAAGATCAGCAAGGATTTCACTGTTAAGCCAAGGTGGTCGCCTGCCATATTTACTATTCTTTCTGCACATCGGGATGGTTTGTTCCTGCAACCTCAATAAGGATTCTTTAAAATACAGCCGGCTCTCCTGGACTCCTTTCCCCCTCGTGTTATTCTCGCAGGGGATCCTGCCCATCAGTTCCCTGAGGGAGTCAAAGTCTGCTTTTCTAAAGTCCAGGGTCCGTATTCTGCTGCTCTCCTTTCTAGATGAAAGTACGGAACATACTTTTCCCCCCAGAAACCTGTTCAATAGTGTCTATTTTCAGGGTTGTTCAGAAATAATAAAATTCAACTTAAGACATTTCTTCTCATATAATCAGTCTCTTCTTCTTGTTCTTTGTAAAGTATGATATGTACTTGAAGAGATTATTTTTTCTTTCAGTTTAAGATCCTAAATGTGCCAATGTCTTCCCAACTTGCTGCCAACCACTGGAATCAACAACAAGCTGAGCAAGAGGAGAGAATGAGAATGAAAAAGCTCACTCTGGATATTAATGAACGGCAAGAACAAGAGGACTATCAGGGTATGAAATTATCTTTCAAAATAAAAGGGTTTTATTCCTAGAGAAATTAATCTATAAAAATTCAGTCCCAAGACATGTGTCCGTGCTGCAACCAACTCCACTCTGCTGTATGCCTCAGCATGCACAATGCTGGTTGTCAGAACCCCTAGGCATCCCAGTGGAATGTGAAACTAGTACATACAAGTTAGGTTAACATGGGGGGTGGGGGAAGAGGGTAATTATATTGCACTGAGTTTTGAGTTCTTTTTATACACCTTGAGATATAAAATTGTTACATTTAGGGAAATCATACCAAAAAAAGCAGTTTATCTGATACTCTGTAGCCTAGCAACATGCTTCATTAGAGTTCCATGATGTCTGTACTGTCACCTGCAATGCAGTAGGAACAGGAACCAGTCAGGTGCAAGGAAAATGGATTGTGTGCAACTTGAGTGAAGGTGTGTTATTAGATATTACAGTATACATATCTAAATGACTGCCTTGGCCTGGCTAAATAGCGGAGGTTGGTTCATACTGACATTGTTGAAGTTGATGTAAATTTCATAATTTCTCCTGCATTTCAGCATTCTAAAGGAGGGTGTTTGAATATATTGACAGGATAAATATTTCATACTAATTATGTATCTTTTAAAAATCAATTCATATTTAATTCAAGTGTTTACTGAATAGACAAAATGAGGCCTACAAAGCAATAAGCAAATCAGATATAGCCCATATCCTAGTGAATTCAATGTGTTATGTCAGATTCCATTTTCCTTGGCATACTCTGATCATAACCAAGGCCAAACCTAATAAAGCGGATGATATTCTTAGTCCTTAAATCACTTCTTTCCATTTAATGCCTCCACAATTCTTCCTCTGTCATTAATAGAGGTGATTTCCATTTTAAAACTGAAACATAATATAATCTGTTAGTAATAAAGCAGTAAGTCACATTTCTGTATTTGATAAATAATAGTGAACTGTAGTTTGTAAAATTGAAATTTTAAATTCAAAACAACCCTATTAATCCGATAAAAGCCATGGAATACAAAACATGTTTCAGAAGTCTGTGACATGAGAACCAAATTCAGTGAGCCTCTGTATCATATTTTTTCAGAAGCATAATAGCTATGGAGCTCTGAAATTGTAAATAGAATACAGATTTTGTACAAACCATTTTAAACCTCCCAAACCGTTTAAAACTTCCTTTTGCCAGGTACCTCCTTGTTTCAAAGCCCAGGTTGAAAATGAAAAAAGGCTTTTCATTTGGCACCTTGAGTGCTGTGGTCACATTTTACACTACAACTCTTAACAAATTCTATATTGTGATGCTGTTTTTTCCCATTATGTAGAGTTCCTAGTATTTTTTTAAGGTCAATACACACATGGTTTTGTCATGAGCAGTTTGTTGATTTGTATGGAGAATCTTTATAAATGTAATTCATTTTGGATAGGATTCTGTTGTGAGCTGTTAAGAATTGCACTTCTCATACAGTAAAACAATAAGGGACCTCAATTTTGAGGTGGATGAATGCAACTGGTTACTGGTGCCAGTTGTTAATAAAGAGTGATCATTTTTTTCATTTTCTCATGAATATTCCCATTTGGTATATTTAAGAAGGCAAGCAGCAATAATAGATTTACAATAGCAAGTGAATATGGCAAATGTCTCTGGTTCTTTTTTGTGTTGATTTTTCTCCTACTGCTTTATACTAGGATTATGTTCATAACAAAGACAGATAAAAGGATGTCAGTTTTGTAGGCCCAAAATTTGACCTGTTTAATCTGTTTGCAAAGTCCATATTACTCAATCTTTTCTCTCATATTTTTATAACCTAATGCATTAGCTTACTATTCTTCATGAGTTAACCCTAGAACAACAATCTTGGGCGCGTGTGTGTGTGCGTGTGTGTGTAGTGGAAGGGAGTATAGCAGATTTCAATTTCAAGCTTCTAAAGGATTACTAGAATCAGTAAGGGGAGAGAAATTTTTAAATGTTACCCCCAAAATCTCAACGTTGTCTAAAGTCTATATGTACATTTTTCTAATAGGAATAGGCTAGCTAATAACCCAAGTCTGCTAAATAAATTAACAAATGAAGCCTGTTAAACTGCCTACTTTAATTAAAAAATTCCATTTAGTTTTTAAAATGTCAAAGTAGTAATTTAGAATTGATGATTCTCTAATATAGATTAGAGTCTTTTTGTTTGTGTTCCTACAATTCTCATCTGAAAAACAAGATAGGGTAACACTCAAAATAGCTGGTGCCATGTGGTGAACCCATTAAAATTTGTCCTTATTCCCCACCTGCTCTCTCCCAGTACCCAGTCTGCCTTCATTATTTTTCCTTATCTCAGTGCTGGGTGTACTCCACAACACCTGCACCCTTTTAACACCTGGGCTGAGAGATGCATACACAATATTTCTAGTTGCTGGCTGCTTGCCTTTCGTTCCCTCTCCTCAATTCATATTATCCCCCAGCTGTTCCCTGCCACAATGTGTCCATCCTGATAGCCAGAACTGTGCTTTGTATCTGAGGGATATGGAACGTGGGGGAACAAGGTCATTGTGGAGACACTAAATCAGGGGTCCCCAACGCAGCGCCCGCCGGGGCATCCATGTGCGCCCGCCTACTGGCCGCCGGACAAGCAGCCGCTGAAATGCCGCCGAGAAGCGGCAATGTCAAGAAACGCTACTGCCGAAATGCCACTGATTTTCAGCGGTATTTTGGCGGCGACAGCTCTTGATGACGCTGCTTCTCGGCGGCGACACCTCTTGACGTTGCCGCTTCTTGGCGGCATTTCGGCGGCTGCTTGTCCGGCGGCCACAGTCCTCGGCGGCTAGTCGTCCGGTGCCCACCCCACGGAAAAGGTTGGGAACCACTGCAAATGAATTCTTTGCATCTGTCTTCATTGCAAATGACATGAGGGAGACTCCCACACCTGAGCCATCCTTTTTAAGTCACAGATCTGAGGAACTGTCCCAGATTCAGGTGTCAATAGAGGTAGTTTTGGAACAAATTGATGAACAGTAATAAGTCACCAGGACCAGATGGTATTCACCCATGAGTTCTGAAGGAACTCAAATATGAAATTGCAGAACTAGTAGCTGTGGTATGTAACCCATCGCTTAAATCAGCCTCTGTATCAGATGACTGGAGGATAACTAATGTCATGCTGACTTTTTTTTTGAAAAGGATCCCGAGGTAATCCTGGCAATTAAAGGCCAGTAAACATAACTTCAGTACCAGGCAAATTGGTTGAAACTATAGCAAAGAACAGAATTATCAGACATTCAGATGAACACAATATATTGGGGAAGAGTCTACATGGCTTTTGTAAATGGAAATCATACCTCACCAATTTATTAGAATTCTTAGAGAATGTCAGCAAGTGTGTGGACAAGGATGATCTAGGTAATACAGTGTACTTGTACTTTCAGAAAGCCTTTGACAAGGTCCCTCACCAAAGGCTCTTAAGGAAACTAGGCAGTCACGGGATAAGAGGCAAGATCCTCATGGATCAGTAACTAGTTAAAAGATAGGAAACAACGGGTAGGAATAAATGGTCAGTTTTCAGAATGGAGAGAGATAAATAGTGGGTTCTCACAAGGATCTGGACTGGGACCTGTTCTGTTCAACATATTCATAAATGATCTGGAAAAGGAGGTGAACAGTGAGGTGGTGAAATTTGAAGACAATACAAAATTACTCAAATAGTTAAGTCCAAAGCTGACTGAAAAGTTACAAAGAGATCTCGCTAACTTGGTGACTGGGAAACAAAATGTCAGATGAAATGCAGTGTTAATGGTGAAGTAATAATTACATATATATATATTTTTTAAATTAATGGAGATGTCCTATCTCCTAGAACTAGAAGGGACCTTGAAAGGTCATCGAGTCCAGCCCCCTGCCTTCACTAGCAGGACCAAGTACTGTCCCTGACAGATTTTTGCCCCAGATCCCTAAATGGCATTCTCAAGGATTGAACTCACAACTTTGGGTTTAGTAGGCCATGCTCAAACCACTAAGCTATCCCCCCCCCCCCAATGCCTTTTGGAAAGTATAATCCCAACTATACATACAAAATGATGGGGTCCAAATTACTTGTTTTCATTCAAGATAGAGATAGTTGGATCGTTCTCTGAAAACATGTGCTCAGTGTGCAGCAGCAGTCTCAGAATGTTGTAAACCATTAGGAAAGGGATAGATGAGAAGACAGAAGATATCATAATGCCACTGTATAAATCCATGGTACACCCACACCTTGAATACTGCATATAGTTCTGGTCACTCCATCTCAAAAAAGTTATATTAGAATTGGAAAAAGTGTAGAGAAGGGCAAAACAAAATTATTAGGGTTATGGAACAGCTTCCACGCGAAGCGAGATTAAAAAGACGACGAACTGTTCAGTTTAGAAAAGAGATGATTAAGGGCCGATATGATAGAGGTCTATAAAATGAAAAGTGCAGAGAAAGTGAATAAGGAAGTGTCATTTACCCCTTCATATAATACAGGAACCAGGGGGGGGTCTCACAATGAAATTAATAGGCAGCGGGTTTAAAACAGACATAAGGAAGAACTTCTTCACACAATCCACAGTCAACTCGTGGAACTTTTTGCCTGGGGATGTTGTGAAGTCCAAAAGTATAACTGGGTTTTAAAAATAATTAGATGAGTTTATGGCCTATAGGTACATCAATGGCTATTAGCCAAGATGATCAGGATAAAACACCATGCTCTGGGTATCCCAGACGTCTCACTTCCAGAAGCTGAGACTGGACAAGTGACATGGATCACTCAATAATTGCCCTATTCTGTTTATTCCCTCTGAAGCATCTGGCACTGGCTGCTGTTAGAAGACAGGATACTGGTCTAGATAGACCATTGGTTTGGCACAGTATGGCCATTCTTATGTTCTTATGGATACCATGGTTTAATAACCAGTAGCTACCAAATCCCTCCCAAAGTTGGATGTTTCACATATTAATTGTATCTTTGATAAAACATTTAAAATAATAATTTCATAGTAAATTGGCAAGGTGGAGCATCCATTGTATTCTCTGAACTTCCCTCTTTTGTAAACATGATGAAATCTCATTAATTGACTTCAGTTTTCATTACTATAACCAGTGCAAAACTCTACCAGTACACTACAAAGTAGTTTCTAGCAGATGCTGGACATGTCTTGAATGAGATTACCAGAGATTAGAGAACCAGACAGAGCAGACTTTCAAGAGTAATCTCATTAACAGCTTAGTCCACTTTTCCCCTTTGTTTATTCCATCTGTTCATGTTTGCTGAGCAATGCATATCCTTGCACAGGTGGACTGTCAGAAGTGCTTTCAATTAAACATGTTCACGTACCACTAACTCATGGTCTATGAAGGTAGACTCACCATGGTGTGCTAATAAAGACACAGGTTATCAAATTAAATAGCCATTTACTTTAGCTGCTCAGAAGTCTACTCTAGTCATGTTAATTATTTCTCTCTCCTTGTACAAAGAAAGTTTAGCTGAATTATTTTTTAAGTGTTTAAGTGGCAGCTGCCTTTTGCACTTGTTGTTACTTCTGGATAGTTTTTAGGAGTATCCCCTTATAGCACTGCAGTGGTCCAATATCAAGTGACATAGAAGTGAATGACCAAGGCAGGTTCCAGTATCGGAAAGAAAAGGTCAGAGCTTTCTTACCAAGTACGAATGATGAAAAGCACTGCTGGCAACTGCTCCTATCTGAACATCCAGCAGCAGCTGGAAATCAGAGTACACATCACAGCATAGCTTGGAAATATCAAAACTGTCTATGCAATTTCAAAAGTGTTTTAAAAAGAATCTGTTATGGACCTGAGTTGGCTGCCCTGAGGAAAGTTTTGCCCACAAATATATGAAAGTATGAATCAAAGCGTTTTTTAATAATTGGTTTATAAGCATTTCAGAAGTGCGTTACTATACTATTTAGTCTGTGTAAATTCCACTTAATAAAAAAGAGACAAAAACTGTTTAACCTTTTTATATGAAATTACAGAGATGTTACAGTCTCTGGCACAGCGTCCAGCTCCAGCAAATACTAATCGTGAACGGCGGCCTCGTTACCAGCATCCGAAGGGAGCACCTAATGCAGATCTAATCTTTAAAACTGGTGGGAGGTAAGACAACCTTTCTTTAAAGTTGTTAATTCTGTTTCTAAGTAAGTTCCAGCATAACAAAAAGTTAATGATCTATGCACTGAAATGAAGCTGTTTCCATTTAAAGTAATGTTATTCTACCAACTATTAAAATACTCGGCAGGTTAGTTTTATGTGTTGGTTGTCCAATGACCATAGTACATACCAGGGAAGAGTTGGGAGAGTGCCAAGGCATCCTGATTTAATTGTTACATTGTAATCAAAGCTTGTACCATTGTCTTCAGAAGAAAAGGCGTAGTTCTTTATTTTCACACAGAAAGTGGGCAGGAAGGAAGTTGAAAACTTCTTTAAGAATTCTAATGTAACTGTGGCTCTTTCAACTCTGTAAGCTTGAAACACTCAATTTTGTATGGTCATAAATGGAAGGAAAACAGAGGGACAGAGATTCCACTGTAAACTCATTTGATTTGCACCATGGTGGACACATACTGAAAAGCAATATTGGAATGAAAAGAGGTATTCCAGATTATCATTTCAGGGTCTAGAATCTAGATGAGTTAGAGGCTAATTGACATATTCTTAAACATTATAATGAGGCAGAGAGTTTCTGATCTTGATGTCACAGGAGAAAAACAATATATTTATGAATTCTTTCATCTCAAAAGCAAGGCTTTGGAGCGGAGCCCAGAGCTGGAGCGCGGAGCAGCTCTGGAGCAGTGGAGCTGCAGGTTTTTGCCTGGAGCGGAGCCAGAGCACAGCTCCAAAGCCCTGCTCAAAAGAGTACAATGGAGATGATCCCAAGAAGGGTAGCAAAAAATGGTTAGAGACATGATGTGGTGGGCTTTCATATGCCAAAAAGCTTCTAAAACCTGGGATGAGCTAATCTGGCAATAAGAGTAAATGCTGAATTACATAAAACATTTTAATTAAAACCAAATGGGAGCTACTGTTAATCTTCTGTAATAGGAGAACAAGAGGGCACAAAAATTGAGGTAAAAATATTTTTATATAGTACAGTGTCATCTTTACATTTTTTTTGAGGCGGGGAAGTAAATAAGTCTTTCTCCATTTTGTAAAATACTGTCTGTTTCCAGTGCAGTATGAATTATGATTATTCAGTGCTGCAGGAAGAGGTTGAAGCAAGTTGTTTAGTTCAATTTAAAAATTGTTTGTGTATATTTAAGTGTGAGTAACATTTACAGTTTTGTAAAATGGAGGAAAAAGGTACAGAGCAAATTGAATTTCATGATGAAAAGGAAGGAAGGAATTTCCCCCGTGGTTTATGAAGATTCGCAATTGGCCAGGTGAATTATGGGATGGGTTTGATCTTCTCTGAAGCATCCAAACCTGGCCCAGTCAAAGGCAAGGGTCCTGGACTAGACACACCAGTGATCAGGCACAATAAGTCAGAGCTGTTCCAACACATCTTGTTGAGTAGAAATTGAAGCTCTTGAAACTCCAGAGGCTGGTGACAAATTTTCCAGAGAATGAATTTGCAGTTTGAGTAGGTTCATTCAAAAAACAAAACCATGCTCCTGTGAGGTGGAAGGACTTTTTTCTCACTGAAACCAACATGAGATAAGACAATTTAGCACCCCTTCCTGAGGCAAGTTTCAACATATATCGGCAATTTGTGTTGGCAGAGAATAAACATAGTTTGTTTTTCAATTACCTTGTTTTTGCCTTCCTCATACCGGCTTGTCTTCATTGCAGAGTTAACTCGAGTGTTTCTCCAAAACCAAGTCCTGCCCCACACACACATTTTAAAGTCAAATGTGGTGATGCTTTTAACTTGACTTGGCTGTCCTCTCAGGGTACAGCTCAGGTTAGATCATCTCATCATAATACAATCACCTGTAATTGATTGTAAATTAAATTGCTGTGTGCAGCTTGAGTGTTAATTCAGTGTGGCCACTCTCAGTCTGGAATGTAACTTGAGTTAACTCTGTAGTGAAGACGTAAACTGGTAGTTTTTCTCCAGGCACGTAGAAAACACACCATCTGTACACACAGACTGCCCTGCCTGGTGTGCACTTCGTTGATCTGCTTCCTCCTTTTTTCACACACTGATTAATTTGGTGGTGGATAGAGGGAGCATTAGGAGGATAGAAACTTCCCTTTATTAACTAAAAAAAAGCTCATGTCTTGTGTTCCAGTCCTATAGTCCAATAATCTCACCAGCTTCATTTTGGTAGCACTTTTGGATTGGAAGTTTTAGGTTTCCCCTGTGTTCCTTCTCCCTTCCTTGGGCCCTTAGAGACAAAGTGTCTAAAGTCCCCCCCGCCCCTCCTCCAAAATAGTGTAGTTTGGTTTTAAACTTGATCTCCATAAACTTTTAAAATATACTCTGACACTTTCCAAAGAAACAACAATCAGCTAACTCTGACTCACTGAGGGAAAGCCTATACTATTAAGTTAAGTCAACTTAATTTAAATCGGCACGTGTCTGCTTCAGTAATTGTCGGTCAGGCATGTTCACACCACGCTCACTGTCTCGGTGGGGTGTGTCTTCACTAGCAGCGCTTGCATCAATGCACAGAGCAGTACACTGTGGGTAGCTATCCCACAGTGCAACTAGCCGCAGGGGCTTTTGGGAAGGGCTTGCAATGCCTCATGGGACCAAAACATTGTTGCAGGGTGGAATGGGAACATGGCTTTGACCTCCCATAATGCAAGTTCCTCCCTCCCCTACTCTGATATCAATGGCAAACAACTCATACTTTTTCATGCCTATTTTCGAGAAGCATGGACTCCGCTCAGCTGTGCACTCTTGTTGTGAGCATTACAAAGACCTCTCGCCTTATCCTGCGGTATTTCCAGAGCTGAGACAGGAGCCACCACGTGAAACATTTTGATGTCCTTCAAGCAGCCCTGCTGGAAGTCATAGAACAAAACAATTCCCGATTGTTGCTGGCAGTTGCGCAGCAGCTGAACATGGTGGAGCTCTGGTTCTGTTCCAGGGAAACAAGCACTGACTGGTGGGATCGCATTGTTATGTAGTTATGGGATGATGAGCAGGGGCTGCAGAACTTTAGAATGCGGAAGGCCACTTTCCAGGAACTTTGTGAAGAGCTTCCCCCAGCCCTGAAATGCAGCAACACTAAAATGAGACCTGCTCTGACAGTGGAGAAGCGAGTGGCCATCACTCTGTGGAAACTTGCAACGCCAGACTGCTTTACCGATCTGTGGGGAATCAATTCAGAGTTGGTAACTCCACCGTGGAAGGAGTTGTGATCCAAGTTTGCAGGGCCATTAATCGACTTCTGCTAAAAAGGGTAGTGACTCTGGGAAATGTGCAGGATATAGTGGATGGTTTTGCTGCAATGGGGTTCTTTAATTGCAGTGGGATGATAGATGGCACGCATATCCCTATCTTGGCCCCAGACCACCTCGCCAAAGAGAACATAAACCGTAAGGGATACTTTTCAAATGGTGTTGCAAGTGCTGGTGGATTACGGGGCATTTCACTGACATCCGTGTGGGATGGTCAGGAAAGGTGAATGATGTGCACAGGTCTGTTCTGAAAGTTGCAATCAGAGACTTCCTTTCCGGATTGCAAAACAGCCATTGATGACATAGAAATGCCAATAGTGATTCTGAGAGATCCAGCCTACCCCTTGCTCCCATGGCTCCTGAAGCCATACACCAGCCACCTGGACAGCAGTAAGGAGTGGTTCAACAATAGGCTGAGCAAGGATAGAATGGTGGTGGCATGTGCCTTTGGCATGTGTAAAGGGTCGTTTGCGCAGTTTGCATACTGGGTTAGATCTCAGTGAAAGCAATATCTCCATTGTTATCGCTGCATGCCCTGTGCTCCACAATATCTGTGAGGCAAAGAGAGAGAAGTTTCCGCATGAGTGCGGCGTGGAGGCAGATAGGCTGGCAGGTAATTTTGAGCAGCCAGCTACCAGGGCAATAAGAAGAGCCTGCAACTCCAGGAGGCTTTGAAAACCTGTTTCAGTAATGAGCCACAGTAATGTGTGTTGCTTATTTGTGTTGTGCCTTTCCATACCAATCCCCTCCATTGCATCAGTTTCCCTGTACCTCTCCCTCCCCCCCCTCGCCTCCAGATTTGGAATAAATAGAGTATTTCATTCTCGACTTTTATTTCACAAACATAAAGAAACTGAAAGACCAGAAAAATAATTTACCGGTAACCTTGGGCAAACGGTGTGATAAAATTGGGAGGGGAGAAACCAAGTCAACTTGTTCTGTGTAAGCACAGAAGTCTTGCCTATCAAAGGTCTTTGAATGGCCGCCTTTGGTTCTTAGTACCATCCCCAGTATTGAGTGGCAGGGATACTGCACCTTCTTCCCCACCCATGCCCCACATCCTGGAACCTTTCGGGGTGGGGGATTGGGAATAGGGTGATGTTTGCAGGCTGTTCTGCAGAGGGAGTCTAGCCTCAAGCCATTTTTCTTGTAGCTCAACCAGATGCCTCAACATGTCTGATTGGTCCTTCATAATCCGCAGCATCTCATCCTGTGCGGCATGCTCCTGCTCCTGGGATGCTCTCCCTGTCCATGTCCAGTTTTTCAGACACTGAAATTCTCCATGCTCTTAGCTCAGTGTCAGCTGTCCCAGAGGCATTCGTTATCTCACTGAATATGTCGTCATGCGTTCTCTTTTTCCATCTTCTAATTTGCAAAAGCCTCTCTCTGTGTGGAGGCTGTGCTGAAGGCCAAGCTTTCCATTGTAAGGCATGCAAAGCACCAGGTAACTCTTGTCAGTGCATACACTAGGTCTAGTACAAAGTAGATATTTTAAAATAATTTCCCTTATTACACTGAAGTGCAAGCCAGAACATAAGCAGTATCCCTAGCTATTCAGTGAACCGGTTTGCTGTTCCAGCCATGGTGAGTATGGGCCAGCGGCATGGGCAACGGGCCTTGTGCTACAACTTACAGGCACGTCAGGAGCACAGATGGGCAGGTGGACAATGCCCCTTTCCCATAGCACCATGGTCAGTGTTTGGAGACCAGGGACCAGTGTTAAGCCTCCCAACCTGTGGTCTTTGTCC